CAAAACAGCATCACGTAATTCTCATTCAATGTTCTTAACATGGCTAAACAATTAGCCTTAAATGATGAGCATAGGTCACTCAAGTCCTCAACCCTAATGCAAAGGTATCAATGGAAGCACTCATTCAAATTAAATCCATAATAAATAGAAACTAAATAAATAAAAAATAAATAAAATTATGAATATCAATATAAGACATTAAAGGATCAAAAATATATTTGTGTGTATTTTTGAAATAAGTGGAAGCAATTAAAATAAAATAAAATGAGAATGTGAACATAAAAGAAAAATAGAAAAGAAATAAAATAAAGGGGGTGCATTAGTAAAATTGAAATGAATTGAAAATCAGTACATACACGCATTGGGCTCAAAAGCTAGGGGTGTGGAAATGAAATATATGAAGCCCATGTTCATTTGAAACCCACACTCAGAAACCAAACAAACACAAGTGCCATGCAGGATTCATTAAAAGATATGGCATCTACTCAGTGCCACATGGACACGGTCAATGAGTCAAACCACACCAACTCATCAAATCACCTCAGACGTTGGGGCTAGGGCTCCGGTCGTCTTCTCCGGTGATGCTCGTCGGAGGTGGTTCAAAAATCCATCAAAACTCAAAAAGTATTATACCATTCTCAAGGAAAAATAGTGTAGAATAAGAATATCATGTTATTTTTTCTAAAAATCATCCTAAAACCATGAAAATAGGCCACGAAGAAAATACACATATTATGAAACTTGCACAAACAAGAACAACAACAATGTAACCATGCTCTACAACACTTCAGAAGCTCAAATATGGCAAAAGCAAGTTCATAACACGTGAAACATGGGAGAACAAGGTTGAGAAAAGTTTACCAAAAATGGAGAGTTCTATGGCTTCTGGTCTTTGCTCAATGCTTCACCAAACTCCTCCTCAAGCTTTCTGGGAACTCGGGGATGAATATTGAAGCAAGAATGGAGAGAAATAGCTCTTGGTGAGTGAGATTCGAAGAATAGAAATTTTGAGAAAAATGAGAGTTTTTTGGGTTCTTATTCTTTGTAAAAATGGATCCTCCTGTGTTGCTAGGGTTTCTTTAGCATTTATAGTAGGTTTTGTAAGGTTAAAAGTCATCTATTGTGGTTAAAAGTTGTGGTTAATGATTCTTGTCAAAATTTGAAAAATGTGAGTGGAATGATAAGTGGTACGAGTGGTTTATGGTTTGTGGTGGTGGTGTTATCCTTATGAGTAGAAAAGAAGGAAGGAAATCAGAATGGCTTGGCAAGGATTCTTATGGAGCAAGTTTTTCAATTTGCTTCTTTTGGCAAAATGTGCAAAAATGGTACAAGAGAGGCATTAGTGTGTTTGGCTAGAAAGGGCAATGTTTTAGACAAGGAAAGAAGGTCTCATGCGCATGAATTTGATGGCAAAACAATACTTCAAAGATTGGTTTATGTTTGTGCAAAAAGATGGTGATATATGATGCATGAGAACATGTCCACATAGCCACCTTTAAACCACCATAACTCCATGAATATTGGTTCAAATTATGAATTCTTGAGTTCATAAGAAAACTTGCATGATGAGGAAAAAATTCCATATTGATGGAAAATTGAATTGAGGCTTGGAAGATCCTGAAAAATAGGCTTGAAGTCATGTCTCTAAATCTGCCCAAAGTAACTTAGAAAAAATTCTAAGTTATGAACCTTTGGCAACTTGGACATCCTATCTTTGAATCCACATAACTTGAGGAGTTTTGATCCAATGGATATTTTCTAGTAATGGATAAAAAGATTGAAGAATTATCTTCAACTTTCATGTTCAAGGAAAATTGATTTGAGATCAAGAACTTGGTGAAACGTGCCTTGGAAGGTAGCCCCAAAAATCTTCCTAAACTTGTCCACTCTTGACATCTTTGAAACCTCCACTTGGGAGCATCATAACTTGAGTTCTACATATTCAATGGAGATGATTTAGTACTCAAAAGAAAGCTTGGAGGATTCTATACAACTCTCATGTTGTAGGAAATTTAATTGAAGCTTGTATCACCATGAAAGATGGGCTTGAAAATTGGTACCTCAAACTGATTTTCTATACTTAGAAAAATTCTAAGTGTTGAAATGTCACAATCTCCATTTTTTTCAACTTTAGCTCATCATATCTCTCAAACCATGAATCTTTTGTACATGCATCCTTCCGCAAACTTGTAGTTCATGATGTCCTCTTTGATTTGATAGCAAGTTTTCCTCTATTGAATCAAAAATGAGAAAGTTATGGAAGTTGCAAGATGGCTAGAATTAGGGTTTTCTACACTTAGAAAAATTTCCATCAAAACCCTAATTTAGTCAAACTCTTGATTTTATGTTCCTTATTGATTCTTCTTGTTCCAAACACATGAAATCACTTGAAAACACCTATCATGCCCTTGATTGACCTTGAGATCCAAGATTTTGGCCTAATTGAATCACAATTGACTTTTGTTGACCTGATGAAACCTTAGGACCATTTCCACTGACAGAGGCTCTTGTGATGGCTTGTGATGACACATAATCCATATAGGGAAACCTCAAGATGTATATTGATACATGGAACCATGTCTTGCCCAAATAATTATCCACAAATCTCCTTTGAACCAAAATCTTAACTTGTTATCCATGAGATAGGAGGAGAAGAATCAATGCTTGTATTATTGATTTAAGTGGTTGAGTGACATACCTTGATGATGAAGACCTTGTAATTTGAGATTGCCACAAAGTTGATCTTGAGCTATTGGTTGAGCTTTAAACGTGAAGCTCTTTTGTTGATTGTTGGATAAGATGTCTTGATCCCCTACCTAAGATCCATGCTAGGTGCAAATGATAATGATATGAAGGTAAAAGGTTAGGGTGAAAAAGAGGGTGTGACAACGGGTATACCTAACTTAACCCCTAAGAAGCCATATAGTTTTGGTTCTAGTATTGGGTTTGAGTTTCATAACCCACAAATCCGTTGACCTAATCCTTTGAAGTGGCATTAATAATTTCTTTTTTTTTATGGCTTAAATAGTCTTTTACTTCCAGTAAGTCGGCGTGTTTTTTATTTTGATCCTTGTATTTTTTTTTTGTCTGAGTCTCTATATCTCACTTTTGTGTTGGATTTAGTCCCTAAGTTAAAATCCGCAGGATCAAAATTTGACTTTAGGGACAAAAACCATTACAAAAAGTGAGATATAGTAATCTCAGACAAAAAAATTTAAGGGACCAAAATCAAAAACTCAATAACTTACTGGGACCAATAGACTATTTAAGCATTTTTATTATTATTTTAAATAAAAATATAAAATTAATATATCACTAATAACCATAACTTTTCCAAAAAAAAGAGTTTATTCTCCACCAATAATACTACTAGACCAATGAATTTAAATAACTTTAATACGAAATGTTGTTTTATATTTTCTTTTGTATCATTTTCAACTTATGTATTTTATGGAAATAATATGTCTGATTGAATTTTATACTTTTATTAAGTGTAGTGTCATGTTGATGAATTTTATTAGATATTATATGATGTATTTCAATAAATTTGAGTGTTAGAAATAAATATAATTGTATTGAATTGTTAACAATTTTTTAAAACTGAAAAAAAATTATTAAAAAAAAACGACTCGCGAACGCAACTCATAAATGAACGGATCGGGTCAGGTTGGTTTTAACAATGAAAATACGGGTTGGACGGCAAACTCAAACCATTAAAATTTGAACAGGTTGGATAACGGATTAGGCCAAACCCAATCCAACTCAACTCGTGTACACCCCTACAGGCATGTGTTGAATAGCTTAATAGGTATATGAAATAAAATAAACAGATATTTAATTAATCGTTTCCTTACGGACCCGTATACAGATTTGATGCTACATGTATCCGTTGATAATTTGCAAAATTTCTTTAATATTAATTTGTTTAATCCAAAATTATTATTATTATTATTATTATTATTATTATTATTATTATTATTATTATTATTATTATTATTATTTTGTTGAATATGAAACTATTATTATTTTGTTGAGTTTAGTATAATTATTGATAAAAGACGAAATAAAATGAATGTTTTTTATTTTTGGTATCTATTGTCATCCCTAAATGAGATTAGAATATAAATGTTAAATAAAATGATGAACAATTGTAAAAATAAAATAAAATTATAAAAAAAATAAAAAATATTAAAAAATATTTATAAAAAAAAAAAAGAAAGAAAGAAGAGATTGTTGTATTATTAAAATTGAGTTAGATACTTAATAAGGCAAATTCTAATATTTTTTTGGAGAAGTAAAATAGAAAGAAAAATAGTAATTCTTTAATCTTAGTCTTAATCTACTTATTTTATATTAAATATGTTACATCACTAGCACATGTTTTTATCTAAACAAGTTAACATATACACCTAGTCTCTTGAATGTCTTGTGTTTGAAAGATTTACCTTCATTTCAACTACAAAATTGACGTTGAAATAAAGGTAAGCCTACATTGGAGATTATCATTGTTGGATGTTGTCAGAACATTCATAAATTTTTTAAGGCTGAATGTAGGTTAGTCTCAGTTATTGGTGACAAAATAATTGAGAATGGTTAAACTGGAATAAACAAATTATAAGGTCATAAGGTCATATTGAAGATAATCTAATATCCTATGGAGAGATTAAGAACTTTCTTTTAGTTTATCATTTTATCATGAGAGAACATTAAATAGAAATTGTTTTGATACAGAAAAAGAAAGGATTCAGTTGGTTTCAGGATGACCCTGCATTAGTACTTGTCATTGCTGTGGAATTGAGAAGAAACTATATCTTATAAAGAGAATTTTATTGGTACATGAACTTCTAAGATTGAAAGGGACAAGGACTCGTAGGCCAGAAGATCAGAGGAACTATTATGTGCCCTTGACACCCAAAGTTCTAGTTGACAATTAGTGAAATAAATTGAATGACCTTATACATAACTTTTTCCAAAGCTTTGACATGTAAAATGCCTATTCTTCAGGGTTTCATCAACAACTCCTTAACGTAACTAAGAACCCCATCAACATTCACAGTCCAAGCTACTGAAATTGGTGAATAACCCGTCCATGGATTGCTCGTATTCCATCTGCGTGAAATGAAACCAATTATGTTGAGCATTAAAATGTTAGCACCAAAAAGAGTGAATAAGAATAATAGTTTTAAATTTGGAGAAACCTTTTTAGTCCTTGGTCTAGAAGTGTATGTCCAACACAGAGGCCTTGTGTCTCTACCCTCACTACTCCCTTCTTGTATGTGAAAAGATCTGGACGCACAACTGCCACAAAACTAACAGGGTCGTGTAGGAAAATTCCTGAAAGAAATCAAATTATTATTCCCATGTCGACTTTAATTAGCTAAAGATGTGTATTCCTTAACAGCATAACTTGTGGCATCAAAGTAGTATGAAAAGTTACCATAGACACCGTCGGATTTGACATGCCAATCCCTATAGAATTTGCACATGTCACTTAAAAGAGATGCATGCTTTCCTTTTGATTCCTTCAGTTCAAGGAGATCAGCATCTGAAAACAACAGAAAAAATTCACTTTTCAGCGTCTTATCAAGAATAAAAACTAATAGCAAAAAGTAGCATAGAAATTGTTGCCAATTGGTATTGCGATTCCACCTGTAAATTGCACTTGGGTTGTGATGTTAATACCAACAACAACAACATCTGCCCCAGAGGTAAACACAATATCTGCTGCTTCCGGGTCTCCATATATCTACAAGTTTATGAATAGTCATTAGGGTTAAGACCGGTATAATATGAGATCATATTAGCCTAAAATGATTAGATTTATTTATTTTGTATAACCACTCCCCTAAGAAAATAATATGCTTGTGAATAAATTTATAGTGCGGAGTGAATGGATACCATGTAGTCCTCAATATCAAGAAGCCAAAGTGGGGCTTACTTTTTATAAAAGTGTAGATTGTTTATTGGATGGATTATCACATGTAAATTCACAAACTATTAGGAGTTACTACAGTAAACTGTGTTTTGGGGCACGATATAACCAACATACAAAGAAATGAATTTCCTCAACAAAAAAAAACATACAAAGAAATTAATTTCCTCAAAAACAACATACAAAAGAAATGAATGTTTAGTTTTAACCCCATAAATTAACTACTATGCTCAACATAACTGCATAAGTTTACAACAAAATCAGGGTTGTAAATTGCCGGTTGCATACAAAAACATTTTGTTAAAAATTTCACTAAGCTATAGCACTATAACAGAGCTATAACCTATACCAGACAACAGTGGTGGGTATATCGGGATCACCGACATTAGGGATCTGTTCAATTTCAATGTGTTGTAGAGCTATAGCATTGCTATTAGACAACACTAACCAAAATATACCTATTTTTAAGGCAAAAAAATAGAGAAGGAAATATAGGATATATCAGCACAAAGTTAAAATAATCCAAGTTATTGTTAAGCAAGAGGAGCTCGCCAAAGCATACAGAAGGTACAAAACATCAATGGAAAAGTCCAGAGAAAATAAGCCTCAGTAACTTTATCTTATTGCAGGAAACATAACAAACAGAACTCTACGACTTACATTTGCTTCTGCAGCTGGATTGACATTCCCCAGGGCAAAGAATGCACCACCAAGCACAACTATTCTCTTCACCTTGCTTGCAAAAGAAGAATCTCTTTTGATTGCCTAAAACAAAAAGTGGACTATCAGTATCAGATCAAAAAATGTAAATTGTACTCTGAAGTTACCAATGCCATGACCAAAAAGTACACACAAAAATGTGCAACTTACTAGAGCTACGTTTGTAAGTGGTCCAAGTGCTAGGACAGTTATTTCACCGGGACTTTCAGATACCTTCTCCACTAAAAACTCACTAGCACTTTTGTCAATTTTACTAGCTACAGGATCAGGTAGGAATAAGTTCCCTAATCCATCTTTACCATGAACAAAATCAGCCACACGAGGCCTTCCACCCTATTCCAAAAAATACAACAAATCCTAATTATTACTAGAAAGACAGAATCAAATCAAAGTTGGGAAGTGGGGCGAGGAAAGCAATAAAAAGTCAAAACTAGAGTAGATACCTTTAATGGCTCAAAGCTTCCCTCTGCAACAGGAAGATCTCCACGGCCTGCAATCTCACACTATCCTTTTTGCATATCAAAAACACAATCAAGAACATATTCCATAAACAATAAAAAAAACACATAATTTTCCAGAATCAACATCCATCATCATCCAGATTACCATAGTTTCTAAAAGAAAGAAGAAAAAAAAACCACATACCAAAAGCAATGCATTACGCGTGGCATCTTCAGTAGCAGCATTACCAAAAACCGTTGTCAAACCCAGCACCTCCACCTCAGGACAACGAAATGCCATCATAATCGCCATACTATCATCTGCAGAATCACAAAAACATCATTCCTATTCTACCTTCAGAAACTCAGATCAATTCACGGTAAAACTCTTCGCAAATCAAGTAAAACTATATTTCTATTTTCAACCACACATAGAACCATCCGTAAACAAACAATCACATCCAGATATCATAATCATAAACTTCCAACATCAAATTCCATTCAACATCATGATAATCACCTCAAATCAAATCAAAACCAACACAAAATCAAACCAATTCCATTTAAATTCAAATTCCGAATTCACAATTCAAATATAAAAGAGATGAAACAAACCGATCCCAGGGTCAGTATCAATAATGAGCTTCTCAACTTTTTCAACTACGCCGTTAACGCTGTTGACTAAACCGTCCATGATAATCAAAAGTTGAATTGAATTGAATTGAATCGAATCGGAATTAGTTAGGGATTCAGCAAAATGCAGAGAGGGAAATTAACAAAAAACGGTTACAAGATATGTGTGTATGTATGTATGTGTGAAATTCAAGGTGCATACATACATACACACGCAGATAGAGGAAGATGCGAAGGAATATGCAGAGAAGGACGATGAAGTTGAAGATAGAAAAATGGAGTTGAACGATGATATATAATGAAGGTTCTCTTTCTCTTCTCTTGTTTATGTAATTTGACGAATTAGAACCTCACACGTGGTGGATCATTTTTCTTTTATGAATATCCTTTTTACAATTCCCAAAATTCTGAAAGTGTTAATAGAAAGTTATTTTAGGGATATCGCAGTGTCGTTTTCATTGGTAATGAAAAGTAGGTCAGTGACGTTTTATTTTAAGAAAGAAATTTTGTTTTTTATTACAATTAAAACGACTTTTTTGTATGGATTTATTTTGTATGCACTTTAATTCTAAATATGTTTTATATGAATTCAATTCAGAAATTAAATAAGAATAACTTAATTTTAATTTTAATGTCAGTCAGGCTGATGAGTAAAATAAAATTCATTATTACTCTCTCCCCTTAAATTATAAAAATTATTTGTTAAACTTTTATGATTTTAATACATTACTAACAAAATACTCGTGCATTTGTATAAATAAATATATTTAATATGATATATATTTTATTTTAAAATATATATAATTTTAAAATAAGTTATTTAATTATGAAATGAAATAAATAATAATAATATAAATTTAATTTTAACATTTAAAAATAAAATTTTTATATCTTAAATAAGACAGTTGTTAATTAAAAATAAATAGATATTTTGATGATAGTGGCTCTTAAAAAAATAAAAATTTTGACATTTAAAAATAATAATTTTGTGCTTCAAATAAAAATAATTGTTAATTAATATAAAATAGATATTTTGCGAATAATGACCCGTGAGAAAAAATAAATCTTAACATTGTAAAATAAGAATATTTTTTCTCAAATAATGAAAATTATTAATTAAAAAATAGATATTTTTTTGATATTGATTATAAGATGGAAAGTTAGTTGTGTGTCTGAATATTGAATATTATCTAATTTTATAAAATAAAATTTTAATTTTATCAAAATTTAAAAATAAATTAATTAATATTTTTAATATTAATAAATAAATAGATTTGATTAAATTTATCGTAAAAACAAAATTAAATGTTAGTATTGTACACATTTGTACATCAATAAATATTTAATATGATAAGCATATATTATAACTAAAATGGTTGGAATGGGGGACGATATGAAGGTGAAGTACTCCGTTGGTAAAGTCTACCACTACCTCAAAATGGATGATCCTGATGTGGTTTGGAACCACATGTTCTCTACTACTATTGCTAGACCTAGAGCCATTTTCACGCTTTGGATGGCATGCCACCGTAGGTTGGCGACAAAGGAGCGGCTCAAAAAGTTTGGAATTACTACGGATGACAAATGTAATTTCTGCAACAACGAAGAAACGATTGACCACCTGTTTTTCCAATGTCCCCTGTTTCAAAGTTGTTGGCAGGATATTCTGAGGTGGATGAGAATTCATCGCACCCCCTGTGATTGGCGTGAAGAGCTGAATTGGATTATTCATCAGTGCAAAGGTAAGGGTTGGCGGAAATGTCTCCTGCGTAGCGCCATTGCGGAGACTATATACGAAATCTGGAAGTATCGTAACTACACCGTTTTTGGAAATACAGTGCAAACCATGGAGATTAGAGATATAGTTATCTCTACCCTTGCTAACAGAGGGTGGGTTCATACTAGTATTAGACGTCATATTGCTAACCTTCTCATAGATTAATGGGGTTTTTTGATTGTTTTGTGGGTGAGTTTTATACTTATACCCTTGTATATCCTATCTTTTGAAGTTATATAAAGTTTTCTTTATTCCAAAAAATGAGGTTATATGTCAGTTGAAAAAAAATTGAAATATTAGTTATTTATTTATTTTTTTACTTTTTATTATTGTAAATTAATGTAAAGAAAAGAGTAACTTAAGCAGTTTGACAGTAATTAATTTTAATAGAAAGATATATGATACTTAAAAAAAATGAAGTATTAAAAAATTAAAATTAAAAGTGTGGGAAAAAAAATGTAAAAGATATTTGAAATTTGAATTAAAAGAAGATAATGAAAATGTAGAAAGCTTAAATTTAAAAATGAATTATTGGAACGAGATCATGTGTCACTTTGTAGTAGAGTATATTGAAAAAAATTGAGACTTTAATTTTAATAGAAAGATAATTGATACTTAGAGAAAAATAAAAAGAAAAAAAGAAAATGAAGTATTAAAAAATTAAAAATAAAAGTGAAAAAATGTGGAAAAAATAAATGTGAAAGAGATTTAAAATTTAAATTAAAAAAAGAGAATGAAAATGTAGAAAGCTGAAGTTTAAAAATGAATTGTTGGAATGAAGTCATGTGTCACTTGGTGATAGAGTATATTGGAAGAAAAAAAATTGAGATTTTAATCATTTACCTTTTTAACTTTTTTGTAGTGTAAATTAATGTAAAGGAAATGACAATTTAGATAGTTTGATGGAAGTTGATTTTAATAGATAAATAATTGATAGATAATTAATGATTTGTGTACTATACATTATTTTCTACTAGCATTCTAACCGATATTTTTGTGTCTGTTTATTTTCTTTTTTAATGTATACATACGTCAAAATCTAAATAAATATTTTTATTAATTTTTATTTTAATATAAATTATTTTTATAATAAATTTTATGATATATATTCTTATATTTGTTCGTCTTCTTTTTTAAATTTTGTATTTGTTTGTCCGATTTTTTTATAATATTAATAAATAAAAAGTATTTTCTATTTATAGTAAAAATGGAATTGTATATTTACTATTGTGCTGGATACTACATTGACAGGCAAGTGCCACCACACCACTATAGTGGTGTCATCCTCTTAAACTTCTATCTATTTATAGTTATCTCTCATTAAAAAAATTCCTCGTATCAGTTAAGAAATAGTGAAAATGAATTGTCTGAAGGAACATATAAGAAAGAGAAGGAAATGATTATATATAATTTTATGTGAATAGGAATAAAACTACCACAATAAAAAAAAAATAAGTAGAGAAATAAATAAAAAGACAAGTAACCTTTAGACACACAAAAAAAAGCAAATGAGAACCACTCAACTTTTAACTTATATTTTGTTGTTTGTTAAAAAAAAAAGGATATTTTAAATTGAAAAAAAATTCAGCTCAAGAACTTATATCCACTTTATATGTTATAACTAATTATAGATTTATTATTTTCTCTTCCTTCAATTTTTTATTTTTTATATAATTAATGAAGACAATTGTTAAGTTGTGTAACTTTTTACATATACTTCCAATTAAATAATTTAATAATTTAATAACTTTGTAACTAAATTTTAAAACATCTTTACAAATATTTATTCACACAATTCATTAACTATTTACTTAAAATAAAACAATATTGCTGTTGTTTCCTACTATTTGATGACATGGAGGATAAGAATCACCGCCCATGTTATCTATCATGATGTACTATGTACATAGGAAATATTGTTTATTTATTTTAATGAAATATTATTTTAAAAGAACTCATGGACAATGTTTCAGCCTTCATGTCAACAATACAAGATTGTCGAATGCCACGCTTAAAGATTATTTATTTTGGTGCGAACGAGTAGAGTTCGAAATATGTTAGGTTTGAGTAACATTTTAGACTACTCAGAGTATCTTTAGTGTATGTTCTGTAGTATTAAATTCTTTAATAGCAACGGTAGTTATAAGCAATTTGTATTGGAATAAGAATGACATGACAGTAAATGAACTAAGACCACCTCCAACGGTGGTTTTTCAAATTGGTTTGTCAGCTTGGCATTGAAATTATCAACAAAAAGTTGTTCCAGCCGGTGAACGTTACAAACATAAGCAATGATTCTTCATTTTTTTTTATTATTAAAATAATCATTTAGCCGTTGTGTAACGGCTTTATTTTTTTTCAAACTTTTTTTATTGAATAAGAATGACATGACAGTAAATGAACTAAGACCACCTCCTTCAACGGTGGTTTTTCAAATTGGTTTGCCAGCTTGCCATTGAAATTGTCAACAAAAAGTTGTTCCAGCTGGTGAACGTTACAAACATAAGCAATGGTTCTTCATTTTTTTTATTATTAAAATAATTATTTAGCCGTTGTGTAACGGCTTTATTTTTTTTCAAACTTTTTTTATTTATTATAAATATAGGTTTGTTGGAAAAATTGTATACCAATCCTATTTTCTCTCACTTTTATTTACTCTATAATTTCAAATTTCTTTCTCACAATTTCATCATTTTATTCATAAATATTTAATTTTTTTCCAACAATTTCTTCTCATTATCATTTTAGATTAATTAAAATTTAAATATTTAAATTATAATTTTAAATAAAATAAATTTAATATAAATAATATATTTTAAGTAAAGTGGTGGGATCCAATATGAGTTCTTTGGAGTTGCACCATTGGAACGAAAATTGAATGAGTTGCTTTAAAAGAGTGGGTCGCACAAAAAACTTAAAAATGGGTTGCACCATTGGAGGTGCTCTAACAATCAGTGGGAGTAAACTATATAACCAACACACACTATCCATTCTCAATGACTCTTATTATTATTTTATTATTGTTTTATATTATTAAAATATCAATAAAGCTCCAACAATTATAAAATGTGGGGTCAAATTTTGCTTTTTTACAATCAACCATCATTAAAGTAAAAACAACTCAAATCAACTATAAATATTTTAAATCCTACAAATCACTTTGGGCCCACAAAAAATGTTTTAGTTTACCCATTTAGTTTACTCTCATTAAAGATCACTACAAGAAAACCCTGAATTAGCTAGGGGCGTGGGCTAGGGGAAACCCCCTCACTAAAATAAATCTA